GATCCTTGTAATGCTGGGAAGAGTTCAGTTTATCAGTATTAGTCATCGCACGACGTGGCTGTTATTGTGTATGACGTTCTCTTGGTTCTGCTCACTTCCCTCAGCATCACACCATACAAGTCTTTCCAGGTTTTTCTGAAATCAGCCTGTTCATCATTTCTTACAGCACAATAGTATTCCAGTACATTCATGTACCACAGCTTGCTCAGCCATTCCCCAATGGATGGGCATCCTCTCAATTTCTAATTCTTTGCCACCACAAAAAGAGCTGCTATGAATATTTTTGTACATGTGGGTCCCCTTCCCATCTGTATGATCTCTTTTCACCAGATGATTTTTGAGTGATTCTGTAATTTAAAAAAGACCCTAAGCCCCTACCCCCTAGGCCAGAGATCCTTCAAGGTCTTTGGGTGTGACCTTTTGACAGAGTCCAAGTTTTATTAAGGGGATTTGTTTTGTGAAGTTTGCATTCAGTCAAAGGGCTGCACTTGAGGACCTAGAGGGCCACATGTGGCCAGGGGCCGAAGGTTCACCACCCCTGCCCCAGGCTCACTGACCTCAGCCCACACACAGATCATTTCCAGGACTATGCCTGAAAGGCTCTGACAACTGAGATCACAGAATCTCAAAGCTAGCAGTGCCCTCAGAGACCATCTTGGTCCACCATCTTGGTCCTCTGGTTCTGGAGCCAGAATCTCTTCCCAACATGCCTGACTAGTAAGTGCCTGCTCATCCTTTGCTTCCAGACCTCAAAGGAGGAAGACAACGCTCCCAAGGCAGCCCATTCCATTTGGGGAGTGCTCCAATTGTTAGCAGTTTATCCCAACACCTGAATTTGCCTCAGCAACTTGGACTAATTGTTCTGCATTCTCTCTTCTGAAAAGTAGAGTAAGTTCAGTCTGTCTTCTTTCAGACATTCTTGTAGAGGATGCTTCAGGACAGCTGTCCTTCCTGTCTCTACCCAGCCCTTCTCAGTTCTTTCATCAGATAACTCCCATGGCACCACCTTTAAGCTCTTCCCCACTGCTGGACCGCCTCCAGCTCATCAGTGCCCAACACTCAATGAGAGAAGTATTTCTTAACCACCTCCTATGTGCTGACCACTAGGGATGCATGAAAATAAAAACTAGAAACAGTGTCCACCCTCAAGGACCTTACAGTCTATGGAAGGAGGAGGGAAAATATATGCACTAGAAGTAAATACGAAATGTTTACAACCAACCCATCTGGCTGTTCTTAGTTACTGCTCGAATCCCACGTTCAGAACTCGAAGGTCCTCTGGCCATCTGGTCCAACCCAAAGAAACCCTTCTACAACAAACTCAACCAGTGTTTCTCCGGCCTTTTCAAGGACCTGCAATGGGGGCTTCAAGCCACCACCTCTCTCCCAAGGCGGCCACTCCACTTTCAGAGTTAGCTCTACATTTTAGAAAACAGGGCTCTTCTGCCTAGCTCTGCTCTCTTGCTCTGGGGCCAAAGAGAACAAGCCTCCTTCTACACACCCGTCCTTCACATACTTGCTATGGCTCCTGTCTGCTACCCCCAAGGTAACACCAACCACCACTTTGGTTTTCTCTTCTCCAGTTCCTTCCAACGTGTCCCCCCCCCCCATGCAAGATGAATTCCAGGTCCTTCCCCACCCCATTTGCCCTCCTCTGGATCATTTCCAGCTGATCAACTTCCTTCCTAAAATTTATGACCCAGAAATGAACCCAAGACCCCAGATGTGGTATGAACACAGAAATATGCAGACTAACATCTCCTATATCATTCTTGAGAGTTACTCGCGCCCGTTTTAAAGCAGCCTAAAATCAAATCAACTTTTTTGTCTGTCCTATCACACTTGCTGACACACCTCAAGCTTGCCACCCCCCAAACCTCCATGTCTTTTTAGATAAACTGTTGTCTAACCACGTCTCCCATCTTGTATTTGTGATATTGATTTTTTTTATGCTAAGGATAAGACTTTGCATTTATTCCACACTTAGCCCATGCCTGGCACATAATTGGTGGTTAATAAATGTTGATTGACTGATCATCCCAAAACACCGTCCTAGGAGCTGAGAGAGATACAAAGGTGTTTAGGACGGTTTATAAAATGTTATGTGGAGAGGAGATCTCAGAAAGACACAAGTGTACTATACAATAATGACACAGTAGGCTAAGAGATACCACTGTGGGAAAAGAGGAAAGAACATAGGTTTGGGAGTCAAAGGACATGAGTTCAAATACAGACTCTGTGATTTTGAGGGATGTAGGAACAGATTCCAACTGGCGCTCACTAGCCACGTGACCAAGTTGCATAACACTCAGAGCTTTAGTTTCCTCATCTGTAAAAATGGGTGTGATACCAACACTCCCCTTGTGTCTCATCAAGGCAGCTTCCTGTGCCTGGAACAGCCTCCCTTCCCTTCTGCTTGGGTAATTCCTACTTGTCCTTTAAACCCCAAACCCCTCAACATCTACTTGGAGTTATTTCTGTGGCCTGACGTTCCCCAAGTAGCTTGGGAGCTTGGTGGCATGGGACCTGCCTCTGGAGTCAGAGAACCTAGGTTCAAATCCCAGCTTTGCCCCTTTGGGGGAGTCATTTCCTCTCTCTGGGCTTCAGCTTCCCCTCTTCTAAGATGAGAGGGTTGGCCTGTGGGGCCCTGAGATTCTATAGGCTCAGCTTCAGGAGTATGACCCCTCTCTTATCCAAACTCCATCTCCTTCCATGCCTAGCAGCAAGCTTCACACACAACACGTATTTAATAAAAAGACACGGTATTTTAACCTCACAACTGTAAGAGGCCCTTCCATGCAACTTAGAAACTTTAAAGCGCTATAGAAAACATCGGCTATGATTACACTAGAAATGCCAGCTTACGTTGGAAAACTTAAGACTTTCAAAGTTTTATTATCACAGATATCACAAAGAATTGAACTTAAAAGGCCCTTTTTAGTGGCTGGTGAGAAAGCAGATTCTAGTAGTGGTCTACCCTGCCTGTGGTCTGCCTGGTATGTTTCTAAATAAAATTAAGGATTTGATTTGTAAAACTTCCTAAATATGATAAAACTCTCAAGTTCTCAAGTAGACCATCTGATAAATTCTTGGTTCTTTTCCATTCTTGACCGGCATTTGCATGTGTAGGTGTGGTTGGAAAATAAAGGGAGAACAGAGCAAAAAGCAATCTGTGGCAGTCCTGCAAGGGGAGAGACAGTGGTCCTGGGGTCTGGGCAGCACACACAGGAAACAGTTTAATGGTGCAGTCTCCAAACCAGGGCACTTGGTGCTTGGCAGAAATCCTCTGTGCTTCCCTCTTGGGACAAGTGAGTCAAAGCTAGAAGGGGTCTCAGAGGCCACCGAGTTCAAAGCCCTCATTCTACAGAGCCCCTCAATTCCAGCGCTCTCCTCCAATTTCTCCTGCCTGGAGCTTGTCTGTACACAGCTTTTCTCCCTCACTGGACTCTGAGCTCTTTGAGAGACTGTTTTGTACTTTCCTTTGTTTCTCCAGTGCTTAGCACTGGCACACAATAGGTGCGTAATAAACGTTTATTTATTGACTCGACTGACAAAGGAGAAAACTGAAACCCAGGGACACTGACTTGCCCAACATCCAAAAGGAATATCTCTGTATGCTTTTCACAACAACTAAGAAATGTCAAAGAAGATTAGGATCATGAGTTTGGAGCTGGAAAGGACCTCTCCCGCCCTCCCCACCCCAAGTACTAGTTAGAACAACCTTCTCCTCATTTTAGAGATCAAGAAACTGGGATTCAGAGAGGATGTCTGACCAGCTCAAGGCAACAAAGATAATAAAGAAGATTTAACCCCCCCCCCCAGCCTCAGCCTCCTCATTTCAAGTCTCCCTGATCATCATCCGCCTAACATTATGTGTACTTGGCCCCCAGCTAACGGGAAGCCGCCCTGCCCTCCTGTGCTACTAAGTAATCTCTGCCTACTTGGAGCTTGCCACACAAAGTAACTGAACTTCAGGAAACACCCAATCCAAGGCAGGTCTAACCTCCGAAAGGAAAACTGTTACCAAAGCAGCCCGAGCCTGAGTCTGTATCAATCCTGAGTTTGAAACCTCCTCTCCCCACTCCCCCAAGCCAGGTTCTACGTGCTTAAGGAGACCTCCAAATGTCACCAGATCACACACAGCACACACACTCTGTGACACGTAACCACACAGACACAGACACAGACACAGACACAGACACACACACACACACACACACACAGACACACACACACACACACACACACACACACACACGGCACCAGCGGGGGGTGCCCTAGGAAGGAAAGGTAGGCTTGGCTTTCTTGGCACGCAGTAACCGCACCTGCCACCATGGTCACACAACTCTTGGCCTGGGTCCCAGCCAAAGCCCTCCTACAAAGGGCTCTGCGCCCCCCGAGCACAAGCCACAATCCAGCGAGGAACAATCACAAAAGCCACCGAGCCGCGGAGTGTTTAAGAAGCCGGCGGCCCCCTCGAGCCTGGAAATAGCTCTTTGGCGCAGCAAGAATTGAGGAGGAGGGGAGGGGGCCTGAAGGTGTCACTCGGCATCTGGGTCATCCCAGCGGGGTCAGCGCTCGGCTGCTTTCTGTGGGGGCACGGGAGGTCGGCCCAGCCGGGCAGGAGGTCTGGCCCCCTCCTCCCCAGACCTCGACACAAAAGCGAGCCCGGAGGGGCGAGGGGAGCACCTGATCGCGCTGCTCCTGCCGTCATTTCTAGGCGCTAAAAATAGAGGCGAATCGCCCGAGCCCCAAACTTGTGCCGAACCCGCCACCTCCCCCGGAGGAGCCCAGAGCTCCCGCGTGGGCGGGGGGCTGCGCAGACGGGGGCCGCCCCAGGGGCAGGGGACTGAGCTGCCAAGGGGGTCCCGAGACGCTGGGGAGTGGCGGGGGTGGGGCGGCCAGGAGGTCCTAATGGGGCCCCGGGAGGAGTGACACGGGGGTCTCCCTGGAGCGACGGCGGGCCGGGCACGGGATAAGTGACCCCCGGGGGTACTCACCGCAGCGGCCCGGCGAGCTCCCCGAGGGGGCGGCAGCGGCGGGGGCCCGGGGCGGGCTCGAGCGACGCCCCCACCCTCGGCGGCGGCGGCAGGAGGAGGAAGACCCGCCGAGGCTCCGCTGTGTCCATACAGGGGCCGCCCGCCGGCCCGCCCGCCCTCAGCCCTCCCGGGGCCAGCCCCGCCGCCGCCGCCGGGGCTCGCTCATACGGAGGCAGCCGCCCCGGAGAAGCGGCCCGGCCACAGCGGCCTCAGCAGCTCCCGAGGCATCCCCCGCCGTCCGCCGCTCGCTCCGCTCCCTCCACGCCGCCGCCTCCTTTGTTTTGAAGCGGCGGCAGCTGCCACGGCTGCCGTTAACTGCGCTGGAAGCCCGCGCCAGCCAATCAGCGCCCGCCCGCGAGCCAGCCCGCTCCCTCTGCCCCGCCCCCTCCGGCCCGTCGCGCGCCAGACTGCTGCCTCAGCCCCGCCCCTCCGGCTCCAGCGGATCAGCGAGCCGTCAAGTCAGTTTCCCTCGGCCCCGCCCCCTCCCGTCCGTCCGCGCACCAGCCTGTTGCATCGGCCCCGCCCATCTCTCCTCTCACTCCTTCGGCCCCGCCCATCAGCCTTCTGCGCTCGCGCCGACGCTTCTCCTTCGACCCGGGCGCGCACAGCTCCTTCCCAATCATACTACGGCCTGACTGACTCGAACCAAGGGCCTGACTGCCAATCAATAAGGCAAACGTAGCACGTGTTTTCGCCCCGCCCTCCCCATCCACTCACAGGTTTCGAGCATTTCCATTGGCCAAGCCGGAAGGGGCGGCCGCCCTGGCGGCCAATGAGAGGAGAGGCTTCGATTCGAGGGTGGGCGGGAGCTCGGCGAACAACAGGCGCGCACTGGGAGCGGGCGACGCGCACGCGCGCCCCTCTCGCTCCCCGACTCTGCCCCTCGGGGGCGCGCAGTGGGCGAGGCCAGGCCCGGGGAAGCGTGTTGGGGGCGGGACCGGGTGGCACGCGCTCCCCCGCGTGGAGCTGCGTTTCGGAACCCTCTGCCTGGAGCAGGGGGCCTGTCCCGGAGGCCTGCCTAGAGGAGGAGGATCAGCGAGCTTACCTGCTTGCCTTCCGCGAGGCCCACCGCCGTGCTAGTGTCGTGCCCATCTTACAGAAGGGGACACTGAGGCTCGGGCACAGGGTCACGCAGCTGGGCAGGTCTCCCTGACTTCAAGCCCAGCGCTGCGGGAGAGGGGCGAGGGGGCATGCCCTGGTCCGACCCGCTCTGGACAGCTGGAGAGGAGGGAGACCGGCCCGGGGAAGGTCCGACGGACTTTGTAGGTTTCGTCTTCTCTCTTGCTCCGGGATAGGATGTGATGTCAGCAGAGGACGGGGGTCTGGCACACTGCAGGTGCCTAATAAATGCTTCTTGGATGACGGGCCCTGCAGTCCTAGGAGCCCTGACCTCTCTGCGGCCGCTGGACGTCCAGGAGACACTTTACACTCACCGTGCCCCAAGCTGAGCTCTTTCCCTCCCCCACCTCCCCTTCCCTATTGCTGTCGAGGGCACCGACCCCCGCCCCAGGTTCCCAACCCGGGAGTCGTCCTGGACCCCTCACCCCCCCCCATGTCCAAGCTGCTGCCAAGGCCTGTTAATGGTACCTTCCTAACAGTCCTCGAATAAGCCCCCTTCTCTCCTCCGATGCTGCCCCTGCCCTGGTGCAGACCCTCATCGCCATCGCCTGGACTATTGCAATAGCCGCCGGGTGGGGTCCGCTGCTTCGAGCTCTCCCCACTTGGGTCAATTCTCCATTCACCCACCAAACCGATTTTCCTAACGCGTAGGTCCGATCGAGTCACCTCCCTTCTCACTAAACTCCCTGCCGCAAATACAACACTCTCTATTAGGCAGTCGTAATCTACCCCCGCCCCCCCCCCCCTTTCCTGTTTTCTCCCCCCTTCCATTTCAACGGGTCCTCTTCCACAGGCCTTGGGCTTTTGTCCGTTCCACGGGCATCTCTCAGCTCGGGCCATTCTCCCTGGCTGTCCGCACCCGTCTGCCTCCTCTGTTCCAACTACTGCCCCGACCTCCCCGGCTTCCTTTAAGTGGCAGTTATAATCCGGCCTTCTACAGGAAGCCTTCCCCAACCCCTCTTAATTTTAGTGCCTTCCCCCTCTTAATTAGTTCATATTTGTTCTGTCTATAACTGGTTTGCACGTGTGTTTCTTGTTGTTTCTCAGATCGTGAGCTCTTTGAGGACAGGAACTGTCTTTTTGTATCCCCAGCATTTAGCTCAGTGCCTGGCCTACAGGAGGTGCTTAATAAATACTTATTGACTGAGCGGACAGGTAGGCAGTGGCGAGACCCCCATTTCACAGATGAAGAAACTGAGGAGACAATTGACTTGCCCAGCGTCATACAGCCAATTAGTGGAATCTCTTAACTCTCTTCATCTTTTGGCTTTCCATCTTTCCATCTTCTGGCTCTCCCCAGATGACATGGAAAACCTGACCATCATGTCCAGCCTGTGTTGAAATATTTTTTCATCTCCCTTTCCTCCCTATCCCCACACTGGTCCAAGAAGGGAAGTCAGAATAGCCCTTGCTCCCCACTGCCATTTCCAGCCTCTCCCCTGTCACCATTATTCAGCATCTGTTCCTTCTCTGAATTTACAGTACTCATATTAATCACCCACACCAGATCCTATCTACTAACCCTCACTTCCTTCTCTCACTTTTCTCAAGGAGGTCAGTATCTGAGTGAAAAGTCTTCCTTTCCACACTAACCTTTCCTTTATTTTTTTATTTGTGTGTTTTGTTTTTAGGCAATGGAGGTTAAGTGACTTGCCCAGGGTCACACAGCTAGTAAGTGTCAAGTGTTTGGTCTGAGGCTGGATTTGAACTCAGGTCCCCCTGACTTCAGAGCCCATGCTCTATCCACTGCACCACCTAGCTTCCCCTAACCTTTACTTTATAATAAAGGATTTCAATGTATCAAAACTCCCTCAGATATTTTGGAATCCCAGTTCTTCAGTTTAATCAGTTCCATGACCTGCATTTCCAATCCATCTGAGCTTCACCCTTGATCTCACCATATCCTTAAGTGTTCCATGGAGAATTCTGAAATCTCTTTAACTGACCAAACTCTATCATTGAGTCTGCAACCAGGGGTGTGCTGAAGCCGGCTTGAACCAACTCAGAAAAGCAATTGTCAAATTCTCAGTGTGAATATTTATGCCTTGGAAATTGACAGATGCTAAGAATCAGGAATTTATTGTTTGTTGTTTGTCTCAGGGCTGGGGAACCTGCAGCCTCGAGGCCATGTGTGTCCTCGAGGCTGCAGGTCCCCGTCCCTGGTCTAGACTTAAGAAAGTGATGTAGACAATGTTACTAAGGAGTAAGTGTAACGTTTCCCAGCACATCCCTGTGTCTTGACGCCTCGCTCCTCCTAACACCGTTCTTCACTCTCGCTATTCTCTTGCTTCTTTCCCGCCCATCTGACCACTCCTTCTTAGTCTCCTTTGCTGGACCATCATCCCTTAACCATAGCGTTCCTCAAGGCTCTGTGCTAGGTCTTTTTCGTTGTCTACGCTGTCTCTTGGTGACCTCACTGACTATCCTGGGTTTAATTGCCATCTTTCTGCAAATGACTCCCAGATCTATAGATCCAGCCCTCGTCTCACTCATCTTCTCCATTATCAGCTGCATATGGGGCATTTCTAATTGGATTTCCCATAGGAAATCTCAAACTAATATGTCCATAAATATCTCATTCCTCTCCAGACTGAACTTTGAACTTTCTCTACCACGCCCCAGAAACCTCTACATCCTGGAAGTTCATTCCAGTCCTGGAATCCACACATTGGAAATAGGAAAAGGACCTATTTGCACAAAGGAATTTATAGTAGCTTTTGGTGGTGGTTAAGAATTGGAAATTGAGGGGATGCCCGTCAATTAGGGAATGGCTGAACTAGATGTGGTATGTGATTGTAATGGAATATTATTGTGCTATTAAGAAATGAATGATTTCAGAAAAACCTGTAAAGACTTATATGAACTAATGCAGAGTGAAGTGAGCAGAACCAAGAGAACATTGTACACAGCAGTAGCAATACTGTATGAAGAACAAATGAATGCCTTAGCTCTTCTCAACAATACGATGATCCAAGACAATCCCAAAGGACTCATAATGAGAAATGCTATCTGCCTCCAGAGAAAAAATGGATGGTGTCCAAATACAGATCAAAGAATACCATTTTCTCTTTCTTTCTCTCTTTTTTTCTTCCTTCCTTTCCTTTTCTCTCTTTTTTCTTTCTTTGAGCTTTCTTCCACAATATGATTAACGTGGAAATAAGTTCTATGTGATTGCACACGTATAGCCTATATCAGATTGCTAATCATCTGGGGAGGGGGAGGGGAAAGATGGAGGGAGAAAATTTGGAGCTCAAAATTTTTAAAAGTATATTAAAATTGTTTTTATATGGAGGTGGGTAAAAATGAATTTTTTTTTAAAGAAATGAGAGGCCTGCTCTAAGCTGCCTCCCTGAGAGCCAACTGAGAAGCCCTGTCTCCCACCTGACCATGGTGGTTGTAAGCACACAGTTGTCTCTGTATCTTTGGATTTATTCTTTCCTGATCTTAAGTGAACAAGTGTTCTGGGAGAGGAGTGTTCAGATGATCTTATGAGTTTGGGAGGTTCAGAGGTGCCATCAGTGGTCAGAGATGCATGCTGGCAGCTAGCAGCATCCATTGGGAGCTGCCAGTGACAGTGAAATCAGCTGCAATAGGGGTTCAGAAATAGTCACCCAATAGTTGGCAGGTGCCTCTTTGCCACACATGTTCTCCACACAAGGGCCTCAGTACCATTGTGCTTCAAACTTGAGCTCACTCTCCCCGTGGCTGCTGGGTGTGTTTGTGGGACAGTGTGCCGCAGGTTTTGAGGGTTATGTTTTGTACCAACTGTTCTTACCAAGCCATCTGTAAATGGTAAATATCTGGCTGGCTGCCTGATTGCCAATGAGGAGCATATGGGTGGAGGCTCAGGAGCCACAGTATTCAAAATAGGCCCTCAGGTCTACCTTTAGAACCCTGGGACAGTAGTGAGTAGCAACTGTGCTTCTGGACACCCCAAGTCATGAAGTCAGGTTAAAAAACTGATCCAAGAGGAAGTGCCACATA